AATCTGGATCCTTACCTCTTTTAGCTTCTAGTGGCTGCCTGTATTCCTGGGCTTGTGGCACACAGCTCTGATCTCTGATCTCACACAACTTCCATGTCACCACCCTCTTCTCTTCTGCAGTAAAATCTCCCTCTGCCCCCTCTTTAAGGATCCCTTGAGACTGTACTTAGGACCCACTCTGATAATCCACAATAATCTCCCCATCTAAAACTCTTGACCTTAGCTGGGTGTGGTAGTTCCCACTACTTGAAAGACTGAGGCAGAAGGATCGCTGGAGCCCAGCAGGTCGAGGCTGCGGTGGCCTGGAGCATGCTGCTGCACTCCAGTCTGGGCAACAGTGAGACTCCAATTCAAAATAAAAATCAAAATAAAAAAATAAAACTCTTGACTTAATCACACCCACAAAGCCCCTTTTACCCCGTAAGGTAACATTCCTAGGTTCCTGTGACTGGAACCTGGATATCTTTGGGGACTGTTAGTATACCCACCACAGTCATATTTTCGATAGGTTTGCACAATAATTTAGTAAATCTGGGATGTGTCCCATACATTTGCCTGTTTAACAAGTGATCAGAAGAAGGTGTCAATCCTTACGTATGGAATTCTTTAAAGAGTTCAGTATGGAATTGGAGCTTTCATTTGATATTCAATTAGGAGAGCTTTCATTGAGAATTGCTATGTGTCCTGTGTCTACATGTTACATTCATTTTTCAACAGGGCCACATGTTTTAAAAGATCATGCCTTTCAAAGTAAGATGTTGAAATAACAATAATTATTTATGTGCATATAGCACTTTATTGTGTACAGGGAAACTTTCTGCCAGGTTATATGAGTTTCCTGTGGCTACTGCAAAAAATTATCACAGATTTAGTGGCTTAAAACAATACACATGTTTTTTTACAGTTCTGGAGATCAGATACTCAAAATGAGTCTTACAAAGCTAAAATCCAGGTATCAGTGGGTGATGGTCCTTCTGGGGGATCCAGGGGAGAATCCATTTCCTTCCCTCTTTCAGCTTCTAGAGACAGCTTGTAGCCCATGGATATTCCATGGTCCCTTTCCTCATCTGCATCACTGAATGTCAGTGCTCTGCCAGTGGCCAGCCTGAATCCTCTGAGGGTCCTATTTGTCATTGCAGCCCTAGCAGCAGGAAACCTGTTTGTAAAGAACAGTATCCAAAGTGCGCAACAAATTTTCAGTGATCTGGAATCTATTCCTTGGGAACTGATTACTCTGTTAAAGTTTGTAGTCATAATCAGAATATGATTCTAGTTTTATTTTTAAATTCATTCTGTAAGTGTACATTTAGTCCAACCATGTGCCAAGAGTCACTCTAACCCCTGGGGATATGACAATGAAAAAGACAGATAAGTTTCCTGCACTGAAAAGACATCTAATTTATGTACGTTCCTTTCACTCTGTGAAATAAACAGAACAGCCATTTTAAAGAAAAGTTTATTATTGAAGTTCAGAAAACAGTGTAAAACAAAGGTGTAATTTCATACATTATTATAAGGCAAATGTTCTATCTTAGTTCATCTTGTGTTGCCATAACAGAATATCACAGATTATGTAATTACAAAGAAAAGAAATGTATTTCCCACAGTTCTGGAGGTTGGGAAGTTGGATATCAAGGTTCTGGCATCTGATGAGGGTTCTTCTTGTTGCATCCTCTCATAGAAAAAGGTTAGAGGGTGAGAGGGAGACAGAGGAAGAAGGGATGAACTCATCTTTCTATTAGAAGCCCACCCCCATGATAACTAACCCACTCCCTCAATAACACCCTTTATCCCTTCACGAGGGCAGAGCCTTCATGATCTAAAGACCTCTTAAATGTCCCACCTCTCAACGCTGTACATTAGGGATTAAGTTTCCAACACATGAACTTTGAGGAACACATTCAACCCATAGCATGCTGTTCTAAGGACCAAACATGAAAGGAGACAAAATCTTGCTAGCCCTCCAGGTACCCTCTCCCTACACCCCTGCCCTCAAAGTAACCACAATGCTGAGTTTATGATAATAACCTCTGTACCTTGTTTTGTAGATTTATTACCAGAATACATTCCTATATCCTATAGTATTGCTCTGCCTGCTTTTATTTCTTTGCTTAATAGATTTTGGGGTCTCTTTTAATGCATAGTTTCTGCCCCGAATTTCCATTACTTTCTGACCTCTGATGTTTGTAACTTGTAAAAACGGAATCATTCATCTTACAGAGTTTACTCAATTGGAATTTTGCTGATTGCATTCCTGTGGTACAGTTTAATGTTTCCCTCAGTCTTCTGTGTTTCCTGCCAACTGATCGTTGATGGTAGAGGCTTAATCATCTTTAGTTTGGGGTTTTGTGAGAAACAACTACTTCATGGGTGTTGTCATAATCTTCATCAAGTGGCATATAATTCTTTTTGTGTTTTCTGCAGCCATTTCTGCTCAACACTTCGAACTTTCACTCATTAGGGGTTGAAAAATACTGATGTTTTAATTTTATCATAACTTTTTTATTTGTTTGTTGGAATATGTCTGTACAGAGAGACAACTGCCATCTGATTGCCCAGTAGTTCAGTTTTTATAGAAAAAAATACATACATTGCTGAGTCTCTTCCTTTATTTACCAATTTTCAAAACAAGAGTTAATTTCTTAGTATCTTTTAAAGGTGGCAAGGATGCTATGTATAATAATCATTTTTTCATATGGAAGAACTATGTTCAGTATATAGATTTGCTCAGAATGTATGCCTTCTAACTTCCAAACTCAATGTACTTTGTAACTAATCAAGATGCTGAAAAGATTGGGAAACTATGTCAAAGTGTTTAAAAATGCGTACAGAATAACTCAACTGTTAGAATTCAATCAAAGTTTGTTTCTTGAGAGCATACTACCTACAAGAACTGAGCCAGATACAGATGTTCTAAAATGTGGTGCCTGCCCTCAAGAAACTTGCTCGCTAATAGGGGAAACAAGGAGTTCCATAAAGCAAGAAGGACAAGACCACAAGACTGATACTGACAGAAGGTGATGTGGAGCATTTCAACTCACCCACTGTCATAGTCTGCTCAGTCTGATCTAACAAAATACCATAGACTTAGTGGCTTAAGCAACACACAATGATTTATTATGGTTCTGAAACCTGGGAAGTTCACCAAGCACCAGCTGACCCAGAGTCTAGTGAGGTTGTCTTCCTAGCTTGAAGATGTCTGTCTTCTTATATCTGTACATGTTGCAGAAAGAGATCCAAAATCTTCTCCTCTTGCAGAGAGGAAAGATTCCATTCATGGTGGGGGGTTGTGATCCAATTATTTCTCAAAGTCCCCACCTGTAAACACCATCACATCGGGGATTAGAACTTCAACATAGAAATTTGGGGGGAACAAAAACATTTAGTGCATAATAACCACTTAACCAAAATGTGAATCCAACACATAATAGAGATTCAATATTAGCTGAAATGAAAATCACTTTTTTGACCTGCAGTTCTTCTAAAGACCTTTTCTAGATAGATGTTGTGCTCTAGAAAATAAAAGTAATTTACATTTGTTCTAGCTCACTTATCAATCTATGAATTCAATCCATCATTACAGTTGTTGATCACCTGATAATTACCTGGCACTTGCTGGGAACCAAGATTTTTTTTTTTTTAAATGAAAGAAGGGCAATCCTACTCTCAAGGAGCAGATGTCATAGCAGACTGAGAACTGGCTAAGCATGTAATTACAAGTGTCAGATATACTTAAGAGCCAAAAATTGCATTTCTTTGAAAACATTTACAAAGTCAGAATTTTCAGTAATTTAGATGAATTCCTCCTCTAGGTTAATGGGAGTTGTGGTGTTGTGTTTTCTTCTTGAGAGCAGAGGTGGATGAGGCATGAAAGAAGCAAAGTGTCAAAAACAGGGACAAAAAAGTAGAAGAAATCATCACCGTTGTATAAGCGAACAGCAATAAGAAATACAATCAGGAAATTTATCCTATGCCTGTTCTTGCCTCTGGCAATGTTACACTGCATGTTCTATTTAATCCCATCACAACCTCCCTAGGCAGATATGATGGTTAATCCTATGTGTCAATCTGGATATAAATACTAGTTGTTTGGTCAACGCTAGTCTAGATGTTGCTGTGCCAGTACCTTGAGGATGTGGTTTTGTTTACTATCAATTGATGTTAAATTAGGCAGAGGATTCTCTGTGATGTGGGTGGGGCTCCCCCAATCCCTCGGAATCCTTAAGAGCAAAGACTGAGGTTTACCAAAGAAGAAAAAACATCCGCCTCCAGACTGCAACATAAACTCCTGCTGGAACTTCCAGCCTGTAGAGTGAATATTGTAACATGTTCTCCTATCTGAATCTCCAAGCTGCAAGATTACTCTGTGGATTTTGAACTTGCCAGGCTCCACAATTGTGTAAGTTAATTCCTTAAAAATCTGTGTGTGTACACGCACACACACACACCTATATGCGTGCCACATTCATTAAGGTTCTCTAGAGAAACAAAACAAAGAGGCCATATAATATTATGTATATGTATATTTTCTATGTATATACATAAAATATTTATTTATACCACATCACACTGTAACCAACAGGTTATATGGTAAATGTGTGATATAATATTTATAATATTTACCCCATTGGTTCTGTGTCTCTGGACAACCCCGACTAATACGGCAGGTATGGTCATTTTATACATTTAATAGATAACCTTAGAGAGACTTGATAACTTTCTCAAAGGTTTCCCAAGAGGGTGAATGAGAGATCTCGGTTTCCAAGCTACTTCTGTCTGACCCACTGCTCTTGCTTGCCCCGCTATTGATTGCTGCGGAGAAGGTTACGTGAGAGGGTCCTGGTGGCCTGAAGATGAAATGCAGCACAAGTTGCTCTCACCAGAAATGCTAACTCAGGAGGAAGCTTTCTGTGAGGCAAAAGATTAAATAAAAAGAGTTATGTTTCAGGGACAGCAGTGACCTTTACCCTGCTTCTTGTTTCAAATCTGGTTTCTCATAGATGTGGCCTGGAAGATTGCAACGTAAGAGTTACATTGTGTGACACTGGACTGCTCAAGGGCCTCTGCTTCCAGAGGCTTTTGCAGCTGTAGAGCTCATCAAAGGAGCTGCCATTTGGATGGAGCATGTACTGTGTGCCAGGGGAGTTATCCTCCTTATCTGTAATCCTCACCACGGTCCTGCCAAGGATGGTGCTTGGCTTTGGTCAGCTTCCTCAGAAGACAAACCCACTCATTGTCCAGTGGGCCAGTCAGCATCCGTGCCATTGACTGTGTATGGCCTCCAGGTTTGTCTGGTGCGCCTTCTCTTAATTGCCTCAGACTGGAGAGTGCCATGTCCCTGTCCTTGGAGGGTTGGTCATGTGACCCCGCTTATGCAAGGTGATCCGGGAAAGTAGGAAGGCACATGGATCTTTGGCCAGCGTTCGCAGCTCTGCCATACCCATCCCCAATCTAAAGATAAGGAAGGCAAGTCTCAGGGAGGATATATGGCTGGCCCTTAATCACCCAACTCAGAAGAGTCAGAGCCAGCCTCTTCCACCCCAGATCTCTAAGGCACCTAATGCCATTTCCTCACATCCCTGCCGCCCGCACACCTCTCCTGCAATGCTTCTGCAAGCAGGTATCTTCTGAGGTTACTTCAAAACAGCTCAGGTGCAAAAGGAGGTGCCTGAGCTGCAGGGGAGGTCAACCATCACCCCCAAAAGCAGTCCCACTATAGCTCAGACAATGCAGCAGAAACAGCCACCTGCCAACTTGGCATGCTTTGCATGCCACATTTCCCTACCAGGCCTTGATGAAGGTCTGATCGTGTATTTTTAAACAATCTCTCCCACTGTGCTGGCTGGATCCCCTCCATCTGTCCCATGCTGGGTGAAATCTGCTACAGCTGCAAGGTACACCTGCTAGAAGCCAGGCAGAGTACTTGAGGGTGGGGGCAATCGAGCAGATGCATGTAAGAGCTGGTAGCCATCTTGCAAAAAATTTCTTATCCTTTGTAGCCTTAAAGGAGATTAAAAAAAAAAAAATGAAAGGGAAAAACAAAGGCTGGTGTGTCCGGACTTGCATTTTCAATGCAAAATGATACTTTGCATTTGCACTGTGGGGAGAGAGGGTACTCCCCTCCTCCAGCCCAGTCCAAATTGAAACAGCATACCTTTGTGTGGGTGAAACTCATGTTCAGGCTGCAAGTGATCCGCTGTGGGGGAGACAGCTGAAACTCAGTGCCAGCAGTTCCATTTTATCCTCTTTTTTTTCCCCAGTAAAAGAAAAAAAAAATCAAGAACCACATTCTAGAGCCTTCCATCTTTGTTTCTTCTCCTGCTGCATTCTTAGAACACTTGCAAAACAGTATAGACTGATACCCCAGCTCTGGAGTCAGACTAGGTCTAAGGCTGGGCTGTGACCCAGCTACTTAACTGCGGTCACTTTGGACAAGCTGTTTCACCTTTCTAAGCCTTAGTTTCCTGATCTTTAACATGAAATGAAATCATTACCTAATTTATAGCATTTTATGAGATGTAAGCACATCCGTGCAGGCAAAGTGCATAACGTTTAACACAGGGCTAGATACAAAGTTAGCTCTTCCAAAGTGGAAGCTGCAACTATTATTATAGTTGTTGTAGTAGCAGTAGTAGTTACATTAGTTTGTAGTATTATGACTTCTGAGACAATGGAAATACTTCAGTTAGTGGGTAAGATGGGAGAAGGGAGACTCGCTATAGGCTGAGGTTTGGCCAAGGTTGTGTTAATCTAACTGAATAAATACTTCTTTCAATATTTAACACCATGTGCAGTAGTATAAAGACAAAAACATGGATTCTGTCATCAGTCAGACATACATGCGGACTTAGATGTAAAGACACAGACACAGACGCAGACAGACGCAGAAACTGACACAGACCCACAGATACGCAGACGCAGAAGCAGAAGCAGACATAGACCTCGGCTGTCATGCCATTTATAGCTTTGTGACATTGGATTATTACTCAACTTCTTTGGATCTCATTTTCCCCATCTATAAACAGGCATGATTTCCTAACTTGTGGCCTTCTTTGAGGTGCTTACTACTGTATGGAAGAATCATACCACTTTATTGTCACAGAGAAGACCAAATGAGATAAATGAGCTTCTAGAGTGGCAGGAGAGAGGATTGACTTTAAAAATAACATCTTGAATTTAATTTCCCATATTTTGAAAGTGACTCACCATCGTTTTATTTAAATAGAAGGAGAAAATCCAAAAAAGCAAAAGAGAAAAAAAATTACACATCATCCCTCAACTCAAGGGCAGCCACTGCCAACATCTTGGTGTCTATCCCAGAAAACTGTCTTGCTTGCAAGGTTGATGAGAAGTGAAAGCAGGCCATCGAGAGAGAACTGGGGGTCTGGGAGCGGCTGCCATCTGGGGTCAATCACGTGGCCATTGCCCGGTTGGAAGTAGAGGGCTCTACCAGATGACGGGCCCAGCCCCCTGCTAGGATTTACTATAAGGGAAGTGCCATCAGCTGTCACACTGCACCAATGTCATCACACTCCCCACCCCCAATGTGGGGGCAAGATGGCCAAACAATAAAAGTTAAACTAAAATCTAATTCATTCAGTGTATCCTCCACCCCTCCCTTCCCAGCCCAACTCCCCACTCCCCCACACACCTTTTTCCTTTCAACTCTCAGCTTCTATGTTAATTCCGAGGTCTATGCAGCTTAAGGGCTCACAGTCTAATAAGTAAGGTAGACAAAGAGTTAGTGACAAGAAATAAGATGGAGACGAATTCAGGCAGCTGTACCTACCTCTGCCTAGATAAGAGGAAGACAGGCAGAGAATCTTCCCGGGCATCCTCTGTGCTTCCCTCTACGGTGTTTAGCCCACTATTCTAGGTCCAGTGTCCACCTTTCTTCATAACTACAGGCTTCAAGAGGGTAGAGAACATTTTATCTATGTCACTCTGTCCTCAGTGCTCTGAGGGTGCAGGGGGTACTCAGTAAATTTGACCAGACAGATGCTAATGAAAGAAAATGTGAGCTGAGTGCTGTTTGCAGTGAACATTTGTTGTCTTGCTCGGTATCCCAGTGCTATGGTTTAAATATTTATCCCCTTCAAAACTCAAGCTGAAATTTAATTGCCATTGTAATAGTATCCAGAGGCAGGACCCTTCAAGGATGATTAGATCATGGGAGTTCCGACCTCACGGATGGCATTTGTGCCATTATGAAAGGGCAAGTTCAGCCCCCTCCTGTTCTGCCTTTTCTTTTGCCTCCCTCCATAAGATATCAGAGCACGAAGGTCCTCGTAAGATGCTGGCCCCTCAATCTTGAACCTCCCAGCTTCCAGGCCTGTAACCCAACCAATTTCTGTTCATTATACATTACCCAGTCTGTGGTGGTCTGTTGTGGCAGACAAAATGGACCAACATACTCCATATTCCTTCCTCTCCTATTCTGCTGTCTATAATACTTCATTCTTTGGGTAACTACCCCTCCCTCCTACCACAGATGATAGTGAGACTACTGAACTCTAACCCAGACCCCAAACCCTGAGAAAAATGGAAGCATGAGACACAAACATGGCTAATCAGATTCTTTTTCTTCCAGAGATGGGAGGAAGCCTAGGAGCAGATGCTGGCTTCCCCCAAAGCCGGGTTGATTGGATCTTTCAATCACAAGACTTCCATGCCTTTCCATTTGATCACTTTTAGACATTTTAGTTAGTCAGAACACATTTATCGCAATTATACTACAAAAAAGAATGAAATATATACCTAAGATGCTCTTTTTTCTTTAAAAAGTTTGATTGGGGCGAAATCCACAGAAAACACGGAACCAACCATCTGCCTATGGAGGCTGGACTGGATTTTAAAAAATGTGGCACATACACACAATGAAATAGTATGCAGCCATGAAGAAGGACAAACATATGGACTTTGCAGCCACTTGGACGGATTTAGAATCAATCATACTCAGTGATCTATCACAGAAACAAAGAACAGAGTATCATATGTTCTCATTCATAAGCAGACCTTGAACAATTATCATAATACTATAAGAAAGGGATTGGCAGTGGTGGGAAATTGCCAGGGGAGGAGGGGCAGGATTGGCAGTTGAGAGAAACTGCTAGGAGAGGGAGGGGCACACATCATCAGTAAAGGTACCTGCACAATCAACATGTGTATACCTAGCCCTGAATTGTACCCCACATCTTTAAAATAAATTTTTTTTAAAAAAAGAAATCCACATAACACAACATTAACCACTTAAAAGTGCATAATCCAGGCCGGGCTCGGGGGCTCAGCCTGTCATCCCGCGCCTTTGGGAGGCTGAGGTGAGTGGATGGCCTGAGCCTGCGGGTTCGAGACCCGCCTGGGCAGCGAGACTTCATTTTTCCAGTAAATCAAAAAAT